GCTAACAGAATGGTAGGAATCATTAGGAAAGAGCTAATACAACCAAAAATATTCTAATGCGTCTTGATAAATCCATGGTATGCCCACACCTGGAATACTTCTTGCAGCTCTGGTCATTCTCATGTATATCACACCACCAACCTAATGTGGAAACACTTCTGTAATAATTGCTACAGTTTGCAAGATCTTTTTAATCAGCGAGCCAGACTCCGGCTGGGGAAAGCAAAACAACTCTGTTGAGCACCGTGGAGCTGCTCCCATTTATGCTGAATTTGGCTCACTGGGCAAAAATCAGCAGTGATGTAATTAGCAGTGTAAATATATTACACTTTAATAAGCAAGTGTTACATTGATTTACACCTAGAGTGGACAAAAAGGAAAGTGAAGTAGGAAAAGCAACTAACCAATTTGTATTGAAACCACGGATGTGGTTGGTGCTGTGGTGTTTGGAAGGAATTTAGGGAATAAATAGAGCAAGAAATGGAATAAATCATTTTATAAATTCTATCTATGAAAATATCTGGGAAATCACTTCCTCTGCTAAATAAAAGTACTTGTACATTTCTACATCACTTTCAGGTTATGGACATGCCAAGGTCAAGCAATAGCAAAAATAATTATAAGAGGATGGACTGACACTGTGTGCCGCATAAGAGAAGAGGAACTGCTTTTAGTTCATAATGTTTTTAGTAGAAAAGGTCCTGGGAGCTTTGACCTACAGAGATAGATGCAGCCTCGTACAGTGATAGGCATCAGCCTTGAAGTTTGGGTTCAGAGCTGAATTTAAGTTTGAGAGGTGTTTGAATCAGAGGTTGTGGTTTGCATCTGTGTGTAATTTTTAGGGTAACATTTTCAGAAGCAGCCTGTGCATTTGTACCCCCCTGCCGGCATATGATTTCAATCCATACAGCCCCCCCAGATTTGCACCTCTGATTATCTGATTTCCATGTACAAGTGTCTTTGCTAATCATAAACGTGTGTGTACTCTCACACAAAAATATTGATCACGCAAAGTTGCAGGCACGAACCTAGAGACCTAACTCTAATTAGGGCAATTGGATTTCACTGCCTGTATTGGAAGTAGGTTTGGACAGGATAATCTCATCACTATTTTATAGCCAATCAAGTTTAAATAATCATAAAAGCAACAGCTAAATGATCTGAACCTAGACAGCTAGACTATATTGCTGATCCTAAGCAATTCAAAAAGTGGAAATTAAAGTCTATGCACAATCGATACATACTCTTCAAAGTGATGGCCACTAAGCAACTGTAAAACCATATATTTCATATAAGCGGATAGGTTTTCTCCTGATTGGCTTACTGTACCAGTCCATACACAGAACTTACCCAAAAGTTGCCTTGTTTGGCACTGAACAGCAAGGAAATTATATTAAAGATGCATGTGAAATATTATGTTCACATAGTTTTTCCTGGCACCAGGCCTCTTCCTGGTTCATGTGGAAAACGTTAGCACTGAGTTCATAAAACAAAGACACACGATGACCTGCATAGTTAAGGGGCATAGGCATTTCTACTCTAAGCTCCCATTTTTTCAGTTGCTCAAACTTCCTGTATTTTTCGCATTCTGGTCTGACATTTTCCAGACTTGATCTCTGCCCCAAAGTTATTTTCTCTGGATAACATGTGAGCCAGAATGGTTCAGTACTTTGTTATAAGAGGGGAGGTGGGGAAAGAACTTCCCCCCGACTATTATTAAAAATCGCTACCCATCTTTTTCTAACAGCTTTGTAACTGGAAGATTTGCCATCAGGACCCTGCCATGGAAATACCCCTCCCCGAGAGGCAAGGCCTTTGAATGCCGTGATGAGATCTGGCTATGCTGGGAGCATTTGAAAATTTGAACACACTTCTTTTGGTAAGCTCATAAATTGCACCAGTGAAGAAAGCATTTTATTCCCGTTCTTGGCTGATTTAGCTGCATGGTGTAATGTCCAGTGTATCGTAGCTCCTGCAGATAATTTAAAATACAGAGGAAAGTTCGCTAGACTGGAGCTAGTTTGGGCTTCAGATCCGCCATAATCTTCATGTGTGACCCAAAGCTAATTAATTCCATGTTTGCACCCACGCTTTGTGGCTACATCTAGACTGGCATGATTTTCCGGAAATGCTTTTAACGGAAAAGTTTTCCGTTAAAAGCATTTGCGGAACAGAGCGTCTAGATTGGCAGGACGTTTTTCCGCAAAAGAACTTTTTGCGGAAAAGCGTCCCTGGCCAATCTAGACGCACTTTTGCGCAGAAAAGCCCCGATCGCCATTTTCGCGATGGTGGCTTTTTTGCGGAAAATAAATCTCTGCTGTCTATACTGGCCCTTTTGCACAAAAGTTTTGCGCAAAAGGGACTTTTGCCTTAACGGGAGCAGCATAGTATTTCCGCAAAAAGCACTGATTTCGTACAGTAGGAAGTCAGTGCTTTTGCGGAAATTCAAGCGGCCAGTGTAGACAGCTGGCAAGTTTTTCTGGAAAAGCGGTTGATTTTCCGGAAAAACTGGCCAGTCTAGACACAGCCTGTGTGTCTTGCTTATGAAGATTGGAAGCACTTTGGGGTAGGGCTCTCTTTTACCATGTACCCATGCAGTCTACAAGGAGTCCTTGGTCATGGTTGAGGCTCCTAGGTGCTCCTGGAACCTAAACAACACAAAGGTGCAAAGGGTTAGAGAAATGTTTCTTGCAGACCTCATAAAGCAGCACAGCCGAAGGAGGGGATTTGTGCCTTTAAGGTCTATAGGGGTATGTCTACCCAGCAGCATTATTTCAGAATAACTGATGTTATTCTGGAATAACACAGTGCGCGTCTACACTACAAGCCTTTATTTCAAAATAATATCGAGCTGGGGGACTTCTTACTGATTTCATGAGGAGTAAGGGAAGTTGAAGGAAGAGTGTTCATAGCGCCAAAAGCCAAATTAAACTATTTTGTCTTCAACTATGCAATTGACATAGCTGAAGTTGCGCAGCTGAATTTGACTTTAGCCCTGCTGTGTAGACGTGCCCCAAGAGAGACACACTTAGGCTACGTCTACACTGGCGCGTTCTCACGCAAAA